AGAGAGAGAGAGAGAGAGAGAGAGGCAGTTAAATAAATACCTGAGTGTTCATCTATTAACAATTTGACTTCCTTACCCTGACCAAGAACAATAACATGATCACCACCCTGTTAGATTTGTGACTCACAATTGGATTGAGAGTCTTTGATTGCGTGTTGGAATTAAAATTGCAAAAGGAATCAAAGTGGCAGACAAAAGGAAAGGGAATAAATTGGTATCCAAATCCGAGTGAAATTAAGGAAAGAAATATTATTGGAGTGGAAAGATCAAACTGCATCCAATTGGAAAGAAATTGAACGGAATCACGCTGCCTCTTTTTCTCCTTTTTTTCTTTTGTTTAACCTAGAATTTCTACCTTTTTAGGACTCTTTTAGCGCTAGACTCGTGTGGTATAAATATGAATCTCCTCTTTCAGTATTGTTGAAGTCAATTGCTGTAATTCTCTCTTTTCATAGTGATTGAATAAAATAATATCGTTCTTCTGCCAGTTCCCTTTTATTTTGCATCTCTTACTTTAATCTTGTTCTTGGTTATTTTATGATCTTTATTTATACTTCATATTGGGTTCATCAAATCTCAATTCTTGCGTTGTCTTCATCGGTCTTAACAAGTGGTATCAAAGCAAGGTTGCAAGTTCTTTGAGATTTGATTGAGGTTTTCAAAGATGGCTTCGATGAAGTATGATATTCCACTGTTGAATCGCAATACTAGGTTTTCGCTGTGGCAAATAAAGATAAGGGCTGTGTTAACGCAGATGGAACTTGATGATGCTTTGCTGGGCTTTGAGAAGATGCCAGCAAATTAGCGTATGGAGGAGAAGCAGCGGAAGGATAGGAAGGCTACATCATTGATTCATCTTCATTTATCCAACAATATACTACAGGATGTCTTGAAGGAGAAGACAGCGGCTACTTTGTGACTCAAGTTGGAGCAGTTGTGCATGACAAAGAGTCTGACTAGCAAACTAACTCTAAAGTAGAAGTTGTATTCCCATCGCATGGCGGAAGGAGGGTCACTGTAGGACCATCTTGCTATGTTCAAGGAAATCGTTGCAGATCTGGAGACGTTGGAGGTAAAAGATGATGAAGAAGATCTGGCCTTGATCCTGTTGTGTTCGCTACCCAATTCTTTTTTGTCATTTCATGATACTATTTTGTATAGTCGTGACACGCTTACCATTGAGGAGGTATATGAAGCCTTGTTCTAGGAGAGGATGGAGCTGTTGGTTGGAGATCCTACATCTAGGGGTAGGGATGCTCTTGTTACTCTTGGTGATCGACAGAGGGGTAGATCGAAGGTGAGGTACAGCAATGTATATTGTTATTACTGCAAGAAGAAAGGACACATCAAAAAAGATTGCGACAAGTTGCAGGGTAAAGGTAATTTACATTCAAATCATTCGGGGCAATCTTGTAATTCGAACGAAACCAATGTAGCTGAAAATTTTTCTGATGATGGAGACGTGATGTTGGCTATATCTAATGGGGAATCCAAACCTGGGGAGTGGATTATGGATTCTGCATGTTCGTATCATAAGTGTCCTAATAAGGCGTTATTCCAGACATATGAGGCGGTGAAGCAAAGTGGAGTTGTCATGGGAAACAGCCAATCTTGCCGGGTTGTAGGAATCGGTCGGGTCAGATTGAGGCTACAAGATGGGACAGTGAGGACACTTGATCAGGTTCGACATGTTCCAGACTTGACAAATAATCTCATATCGCTGAGTACCCTGGATGCAAAAGGGTATAAATTTTCTGGTGGAGGTGGAGTCCTGAAGGTTCAGAAAGGTGTTCGGGTTGTACTGGAGGGAGGATGAGATCCCAGTTGTATATTTTGTAGGGAAGCATAGAACTAGTTTAGAGACATTTGGACAAGTTTAGTACCGTAGTGAAAATTCAGTTTGGTACATTACCTCTTATGTTAGGCTCTAGGTCAATTTCGAACTTTGCGCGTGGGAGTGTTGGTGATTCTGTTTTGCCACCAATTTTAGCAGTTACACTTTGTTTTTGTACTCGTGGACTCATGGAGCATAGGTTTAGTAGTGTCAATAATGTATGTAATGCCTTAGGGATCGTTGAAGGTAACAGTTATAGCAAGGAGCCTTCTGATCGTGCATTTGGTGTGGTTTCTGCTATAGGGTGTACTTCGACCCTGTCTAGTGATTATTAATTCCAAGTGGAATTTTGGGAAGCCGGGTTTAGGTTCGGGTATCGCTTGTGGATCAGGGCGGGGGAACATGTTTTCGTGGAGAGTTTGGTTACTGTGTTGAGGAGCTTGGTTATTCTAATGCAGATGAATTTATTTCTCAAGATGGAGAAATTTTGGAGCTTTGTTCATTGCACCAGAATTTCGAGTCAAGGTAGAGATTGTTATATTTATGACTCTCAATTGGATTGGGAGTCTTTGATTACGTGTTGGAATTAAAATTGCAAAAGGAATCAAAAGTGGCAAACAAAAGGAAAGGGAATAAATTGGTATCCAAATCCAAGTGAAATTAAGGAAAAAAATATTATTGGAGTGGAAAGATCAAACTGCATCCAATTGGAACGAAATTAAACGGAATCATGCTGCCTCTTTTTCTCCTTTTTTTTCCCCTTTCGTTTAACCTAGAATTTCTACCTTTTTAGGACTCTTTTAGCGCTAGACTCGTGTGGTATAAATATGAGTCTCCTCTTTCAGTAGTGTTGAAGTCAATTACTGTAATTCTCTCCTTTCATAGTGATTGAATAAAATAATATCATTCCTCTGCCAATTCCCTTTTATTTTGCATCTTTTACTTTAATCTTGTTATTGGCTATTTTGTGATCTTTATTTATACTTCATATGGGGTTCATCAAATCTCAATTCTTGCGTTGTCTTCATCGGTCCCAACACACCCCACATAGCAGAGTGGTTTTGATCAAATGGGGTTTCATCAGCATATCCACAAGCAACAAAGAGAATTAGAAACAGGCTAATTGCATTGTAATCCATCGGAATTAAAAGAATCAAACTAATGCAGTTTTTACTGACATAAATTGTTTTTAGAGAATTCATAAATTCATGGACCGGCATTTAAATAGAGGAGTACTGGTTTTGGACTATAGATTCTTAGTTGATACTGTTTAGGTTGAAAGTTGCTAATAATTTGTTGACCTAAAAATAATTAACTTGCCATGTTTGCGAATATAGGATTGTTAATTTAATAGTTTGTTGATTAATGCCTAATGGTAACAAGTTGGGACTAACACGTTCCATTGCAGTCACTGGCGGATTGAGCACCTGGCAAGCATCTGCTAATAATTTGTTGACCTAAAAATAATTAACTTGCCATGTTAGCGAATATAGGATTGTTAATTTATTAGTTTGTTGATTAATGCCTAATGGTAACAAGTAGGGCCTAACACGTTCCATTGCATATGCAGTTGACGTTCCACCGCAATTTTTTTTATTATATTGGACGGCCACTCAACGGTCGCTCGTCTAGCGGCTGCCCATGCTCACCTAAATTCTTAGATTTACCACTGACTGAATGTAATTTGGCTACTGCTCCCAAAAGTGTGTATATGTTCAGGGATGAAGCCAAAAATTTTACCTTGTCGGCAGCCTTTTTCTTTTTTTGGCAGAACATTTTTGTGTATTTGAGTAATGTTTTTCTTTTTATTAACTTTCATATCCTAATGGAGGCAGTTGACCCCACTCCTCCCCCCCCCCCCCCTGTGTGGGGGGGGGGGGGGGGGGGGGGGGGGGGGGGGGGGGGGGGGGGGGGGGGGGGGGGGGGCAGTTTCTGTGTTAAATAGTGAAGACTGTATGAAAGCTTCACAAAAGAAATTCTAGTGCATGGTTTCCTACGTAATTTTTTAAATATTTATGACTATATGCAACATTTCACGTCAGCACTAAATGCAAATATTGGAGTTACTATTCATAAATGGTGGACCGGAAATATAGGATTTGCATAATTTTTGTGGGCTACATGGTCTTTCTTATAGCAGTGAAGTAAAAATGGAATGGAGCATCAGACCCGGTCCTGGGCCGAGGCCAATGAGGCCTGCGCCTCAGGCCCAAGACCATAAGGGGCCTAATTTTAGCCCTATAATTTTTTTTTTAACTTTTTTTTTCACATGGCTAGGCGCCCCAAAACCATTATCCAACAAGCCCAATCCATTTACTCTTAAATCCAATTACCCAACCCAACTTACATATCCAATATCCACAATCCAATCCAATTAACCAAAAATCCCCAAAATCTGAAATACAATCAAGGGCTTGCTTAGTTGCTCGAAATGCTTATCGCCTAAGTGTTTGTGTCGTCTCCGTCAGTTTAGTGGTCACTCCACCAGTCCCGCAGTCCGCCTCCGTCCTTCTGTCGCTAGTTCCCAAAATCTTTGCGAAGTCGGTCGAAGTTTGCAGCGCCTGCTCTTGCTCGTCACCGTCGATCGAACTCGAAGACTCGAAGTTTGTGTGATTCTGACTCATCTCCACAACTGCAAGGCGCGAGTCCGGTCTCCGCCAGTCTGCTCTAGCTGTGCATTCATTGGAGGAGGTGGAGCTGCAGCTGCTAGTGGTGGAGCAGCTGAGGAGAAGAAGGAAGAGAAAGAGGAAAGTGACGAGGACATGGGATTCCCTCTCTTTGATTAGTTTATTAGTTTCGTCTACTTATTGTTGCCTACTTCTAAATGTTACTAATTGGTTAAGCTCAAATTTTGATGACATGAGTTATGGGTTCACAGACATTGCTTGCTTTTATTTGGTATTGAATATATATGGTGAATGATTTTTTATTTTTATTTTTATTTTTTTGTTTTGCATAAATGCATTTTTCAATAGCATTTACAGTTTACCTCTGCTACAAATTTTAGATGGCCATGGACATGCATTTTCTGGTTTTCATTATGTCGGCCCCTCATCTTCAACTTTCGTGTTTGTTTTGGTTTGGAAGAGGGCATTGAGGCAGCATTAATGGTGAAGAAATATTTTCAAATCTTTATTACCAAGTGACGGGTGCTTTCATGTTTGATTATTCATCTAAGAAACTACGTTTTTCAAATTTTGATTTACGGTGATTTCATCGGGGGGCCTAGTTTACGGACTTCGTCTCAGGGCCCGACAATCATAGAACCGGCTCTGTGGAGCATTGAATCCAGATGGTTACCTCACTTGTGATAGAAAACAAGCCGTTTTGAGAATTGAGGAAAAGTAGCCAAAAATGTTGACAAAGGAATCCACCAGACGTCCAAATAAGTTTGTTTTGTGTATGGGGGCAACCCCAGCCAAGTTGGTCTGGCAGTTGGACTAGCAATCGTGAGGTTGCTAGTTCGATTCCCGTTGGAGCTGCCTATTGGACTTCTTGGTTTGAGCCGGTCAGCTATGGGTAACCTAGGCTAGTTTACCTCCTTGTGGTCCTTTACCGGCTAGGATCACAAGGCGGGGTTTACCTAGTGCGCACCTTCGGGTAGCGGCTGCGGGTTCCCTTGTTAAAAAAAAAAAAAAAAAAAAATGGTTTGTTTTGTGTATGAACTGTAACCTGTAAGTAGACGGGGTTGGACAGTGAAATTATATAGAAGCCAAGCAAATGTTCAATAGAGAAACGAGAGAAAAAAAATAGAGAGCGACTCTGTGTATGCTCATAAAATACAAAGAGGATATTTTTGTATTTTCATTTTCTTTCGTTGATATAGTGACATATCTTAGTGTGGCTCTGCAACATATATACATAAAACCCTTACGTCTTGTACTTCCATTTATTTTACAGTGTCTTTTATTTCTTCTCATTTAAATTATTTTGCATCCCGGATTAATGTGTAATACCTAATTGATCGAATCAATAAGACAAGATACTTTTTCATTTCCAGATCTGTCATAAAAAGAAATAAACAATTATCTCTAATTAGTGTGAAGGACAAATCCCACATTGAATTAAAGATCAAAATATAGACCAACATACAAATACTTCATGTTACTTCTTATGATAAGGTTAACATTTTAAGATAAGATAAAAGCACGTGTCATAATATTTAAATGACAAGTTGACAACTTTTTCTTTATGAAGTCCCGGGAAGAAGTTATATAACACATTGTGATTGTACCCATAATAATTTTGACATTAGTTACAATTATATATATTTATATCCCTTGCACTATAGAAGCAAGTATATGGTATTTTCATCTTCGTTTTTTCACCATTACTCCTTGAAGGAAGCTAGAACCAAGGTCAATAAGCCCTTGTTTGAGTCCCATTTTTCTTTAAAAATAATATTATACGCAAATTCAAAATTTTTTCTTATTTTTTAACCATACATTTTCCATCATAACACTATTTCAAAATGCATTTTTTGAGAAAAATGGAGCTCAAACGACCCCTAAATTACCACTTCAGTTAGGCCTTAGCTTCGAATATTTTCATCCTTGGAACACTTAAGGGTTAAAGATGCTCATTATTATTATTAGAAGCAAATTATTATCAAAGTCCCTAATCTAGAAGAAATACAGTAGGAGGCTCCAACCTTCAATTTATACAGTAAGTGGATCCTCAACCTTTCAGTTTTATACATTGCAACGAAGTACCAATAGAAAATTTCTATCTATTTAGATGATACAATTGTTGAGAAAAAGGCTAATAATCTAAGATACAAAATTATTATAGCAAATAAATAATCTTCTTTTCCTCATCTTTATTTCTCCTCTACTTTAAAAGAATCTATCCTATTTTACTGTTCATTTTTGTCCACTCGTGTTCACACTTGACCAGTTTGAAGTTTTCTTCTTAACCAGTTTGAAGTGGAAGAAAAGCAACAAGACATATGTATTTGCTTTCAATTTTTTCCAATTTTTTCCAATTATGGGTGCGCATTAATGAGTGTTGTCAATAATTGTGACATTTTACTGTACATTTAAATTCAACAAGTCGGTTGCACTATTTTCTCTCCACTTCTAAGTGCTATATTAATTAAATATTACTAATCCATCTGACATCCTTTTTCTCATTTTCATGCAAAAACCCATTGAGAATTTGATTTTTCATTGCTATCCTGAATTACACAAGTCTAATTTAATAATACAAGTTGATTTAGAGGGTAGATTTGGAAGAAATAAATTCATCTGAAGTGATACAATTACACATCATGACATCTAGGCCCATGGTTTTTAGAAAACATTGTTTATGATAAATTAAAGGATATCAAACAAGTGCACAATGTATCTATCTGTGTAATTACTATCTCTATCTTTTCGTCATTTTCATTCATTCTCCATTCTCAAACAAAAAAGAAACCCTAGAAAATCGTCTTTTCGTGCTCTTCTCTTCCGTCCATAGATTTGCAGATTAACGTGGTATCAAAGGCAAATTTGTTTGTGATTTTCGTTTGATTTCTCCATTTCATTCTATTTTTTGCATTTCAGATAGTTTTTGCAACCTATTGTTTGTAATTTGTGTTTTTTGTTCGTTACTCTGTCTCTAGTCGGTTCTTTTTAATTTCTTCAGGTTTCGTGTTGTGAAGTTTATGGGTGTGGTTAAAAGGTAAGTTTACTTCAGTTTTTCTATATAAAATCTAAATTTCTTCTATAATTTTTTCTTAGATTTTCTATGAAAATAGTTATCTTGTTCATTTTCTAAAGTTTTTATACTTTTTTCACTTCTCTTTGAACACAAATCATAGCACTGCACCTTGTTAAATTTTTGGGTTGGAAAGTTTGGAAGTTATATGTTGTTCTTTTAGGGTTTTAAGTTTGTGCGGTGTTTTTTTTTTTTTTTTTTTTCAAATTTAAAATTCTTGAATCTATGGTCAATATGTTCTTTCGGCCTCGTGTTGGGTTGGGTTTTTAGAACAAAGTAGATTTGAAAAATTGATTTGGTTTTGGAATTAATATCTATAATTCAATTGATATAAGAAAGAAAATTGAGCTTTTAAAGAAAAATTGAAGTTTCAAGTCAAGGAGTTTTGTCGATTTGTATTTTAAATTTAGTAGATTTTGTGCATCCAGGAAGACACTGTGCTTTTAGAAATTTGAAGTTTGGTCACGAGTTGTCAAATTTTTTGGTAAATCTAGCATGTCAGCTACCTCGAACCAATTCAATGACTGAAAGCTCTGGTAAATACAACTTGGAGTTTGGGCATGATCAATTTAGTGAAGTTTGTGTGTTATTTATTTATTTTTTTTTTTTGTCTTCTTTTATTTTTAAAATTCTTCAATCTATGGTCGATATGTTCTTTTTCATTTTTATAGAAGTCAATTTTACCGATTCAATTTTACGTTCTTTGATCAATTTTTTGCAATATTTAAATGATATCTGGCTTTAGGATTTATGTTTTTTTTCGTTCTCTACTGTTAGCAGTTATGAATATACTTTTTCTTTAATAAATAAGTTACTTACTTATGTTTAATTTATTCATTTACTTGCTTAAAACAAAAATTGTAGCACTGTGTTTTCTAAAACTTTCATTTTGAAATTTCAAACTCATGTGTACTTTTCTTAGGGGTTATAGTTTTAGTTTGAAATTTTCTTTCTGTTTTATTTGAAATTTAAAATTATTGAATGTATGGTCAATATGTTCCTTTTAATTTTTGTCTAAGTTAGATTTATTTCAATTTCACTTTTTTGATTGATATTCTGCGAGGTGTAAACTATATCCGTCATTGGGTTTTTTTAATTCTGTTGTCAATTGGTAGCGGGTATTTTGTGCTCTTTTCTTAGCTCACATTATTTTTAACATTGATTTTATATGTTTGGGAGTTTTCATAGAAATATATTTTCTTGCTGCTAATATTACTATTTCATTAATGCCCTCGAAAGTAATTCTTTAATTTTGGGTTTTTGCGTTAGTTTAACATTACTGAAGAACCTCCATTGACAAAACAAATTGAAATTTGTAGTATTATGAAACTAAAGTAAACTATTATTGGTTTTTTGTCATTTCAGTAGTCTGAACTTTACTAATATTACCCTTGTTCTTCTGCTTTAATTGTTCTCTACAAGGCCTATCTTTACTAAAGTGATATTCAATGAGGAGTTTGCAATAAGAAAATCTACTACAAAATCAAATTATCCTTGTAATGCATTAATTTACCAAAAAAAAAAAAAAGAAAAAAAGAAGTCAAGTCAAAGATGCCAAGCTTTAAATAATAATAATAGTAATAATATTCTAAAATGGTGAGGCGATGAATTAGATTATATATCAATCCAACTCACATTTAAACAAATCAAAACCCATTCCATATTCAATACACACGCACACACACAAAGAGGAGGAAGAAGAAGAAGAAAATAGAAAATTTTCGCCAACATGTTAGAAATAAGTTTTTCTACTATTAGGTTGAAATTCTTAAAAGTTAAAGGTAAGTAAAAAGTTACTTATTGAAAGGTTATGTTTGATTTTATAGTCGTTAGATTATTAGATTAAATTAAATATTAGAGGTTAAATATAAATAAGCTATGAAGTTGAGTAAAATAAAAGAAAAATTTGTTTTAGTAATTAAGAGACCTTATAAATCGCTTAAACGTGAAATGATTAAGCTTGGGTATCGCCTATTTAATTATTGAAATTACTTAAAATAATTAATTATTGATTTAAAAATTATATTATATTTCAGGCGGCAATACTGATATCGCAATAGTTTACCAATCGAGTTGATTTTGCCAACATAGTTCTGTGAGCGAAAAAATATAAATAATTTTAAAATATTTATAAATTAAGTATATTAGTAAAGCATGTGCTATTAAAGAAATTTCTTTTATCATGATCCATGCGGAATTTCAAAAAGGATTATTTATGATATTGTGAATTGGAATATGAGAAATGATATTGAGATTGACTAGAAAAGTACCCGTGATTATGTACTTCTTCTAGATCAATGAGGGGCCTTGGCCATATTCTATACTACACTGAGGGGTCTTGAACCGAAGATGAAGGAATTTCGACCGTGTACATATAGTTTACTGAGGGGCCTTGGCCGTATTCTATACTACACTGAGGGGTCTTGGACTGAAGATGAAGGGGTCTCGACCGTGTACACATAGTTCACTGAGGGGCCTTAGCCGTGTTCTAGAATTGATTATCAGAGGTCTTGAGACCCGCTTTCGTTCACGGAGGGGCCAAAGGCCCATGGCGAAAGGTCTTAGCCCGAGAAGCGGATTACAGATTTTAGTCAGATGGTACATTTTTGGTGGATTTTCCTATACATTTGATGTGATGAGATTATAGCATGATTATCGCTTATGTTTATATCATAACTTGGGATGATATTTTACCATGTTATGTGGATGTCTCACATTTTGGTTATAATTATATGATGTTATCTTACAAGTTATTCAATGATATGAACTCGATTTTCGATAAAAATGTAAAATTGAAAAAGTATAATTATTTTTTAACTTCTCCACTCACTGAGCTATCAACTCATATATTTTTCCGTAATTTTTCCTACAGGTAACAATTGATTTATGTTAGCTGGAAGAGCCTAATGATTTCGAATTGAGAGCCACACAACATGTTGACTATTATAACTCATTTTGATGAAGCATGAAGTAAATAATTTGGGTCTATCGCATCATGTTTTACATAAGCATTTGATTTTGTTGCATTTTTTAAAGTAACTCATAGTCAGTCTTGATGATAGATTTAACATCTAGTTAGCATCTATCATCGGCGCACATCACGTTTCGGGTCCACTAGAGTGATTGGAACGGGTCGTCAACCTGGGGTAGACATTATTATTATTATTTTTTTTTTTTTTTATTTTTTTATTTTTTTATTTTTTGCAGTAGACCCCTCTTTGAACATCAGTGAAGTTTTTCGCATTATATATATGTATAGATTAGTAGAGAACCCTTGCCATTGAACATAAAGTAGAAATCATGCGATAATAACTTTGATTGATAAATGTATAAGATAGTTGCTCAGTCATTTATTTGCTGCACATGTAATTAATTCTTATATTATTTAATTTTCTTTTCTATAAAAGACGCTATCTATTTTACTATTACAATTGCGATTTTCATTCTTTTTTTTTAAAAAGTAATATTTCAGCATCATCAAGGATAATCTAATTGACATGATAAGAACTCTAAGCTAAAAGTATGAAATTGTCGAATTTTTTGACCACCTAAAGCTCCAAGAATCACTTGGATAGGGATTTTGGCAACAAAACTTGTGTCTACTTTAGTAATATAACATCTTTTGTTTCGTTCTCGTCACTATGATCAAAACTTTTAGACCTTCTAGGAGAAGCTTTTTTTGGCTTTTGCATAGAATTATGCATTATTATAACAATTCCACAATTCCATTATGGTTCTATTGCTTTTTTAAATTTGCTTTTTATTCAACTTGAGCATTTTCCATAATCAGCTATAGTTAATCATTCAATTGTTTCCCAACGGAGCATTCTTCATATTTTTTCCTGTGATGAGTATTATAATTTGAATATTTATTTCTTATCTCCATATATTTTTTAATTTGTTAATTAAATGCATAGGTGCATAAAAATTTTAGAATTGAAAATTCCATTAAATTTTATTTACAATTTTCTCACATTTTTCTTTATTTTCAGGTTGTCTACTTAAATTGTATCAACGCTGAATTGTTTGTGAACTGCTTTCAAGCCAGCTTCTAATGCTGTAAATTTACTTGTAAATATGAAATTCTTGTTGTTTAAATGTTACGTGCAGTAGCTTATTTCATTCTGTGTTCTCAATGCATTTTTTTCACTTTTTTAGTTTATTCTTATTCTGCTGGTCCTTCAAATATTCCAGTTTCTTCTTCTTAGCTCACTATCCCTTCTAATAGCCTATTGTCATCTACTTCGGTTCTACCTCCTCCAGCTGAGTCCATTCCCAGGACTTCCTCGGATCCTATTGATCAATCAATTGCTCTTATCGGTCAGCTGTCTGTGTTCATCGAGCAGTAGGCTCATATGATGGCCAAGATCACACAGTTGAGAGCTACCTCATAGCGTCACACTACTGAGTTCCCTACACTTCATGGAGTGATTGCTTATGTACTGCGGGGCATTAGGTGGATGCGCCAGCATTGGGACTATGGCGGTGGCGCGGCAACACCGATGGTGCAGATGACAACGACGATGGTGCAGATGACGCTGTAGATGATAGTTGATAGGGTTCTCCTTGTCATCTGTGACAAAAATAGGGGGGTGGCTGTAGAATTGTTGATATTGGATATTTTGATTTGTGACGTTGTATATGTTGACATATTTTTTAATGAATATCTGGCACACATATCTAGATTAAGTTTTTTTGGATGTTTTGGCAATATTAATGTATGTTATTTTTGGTTGTTTGGATTATATTAGTATTGTATCTTAATCTAGTTAATGTGATTCTGC